CATGTTGATGAAAATTGTTTCAGATTCAATCTCTGAAGAGTTCTAATCCAAACTTTTTTTTTTTTTTTTTCATGCCCAGATTCAAATTTTCTTCTAGTCATAATTGAATTTTAGTTAACTAACAATGTTTCTTTAGACAATTGACTACACTGGAATTCACTCAAAAGCATGCTTTTTGTAAGTATTTTAAATTTCAAGAAGTAACTTTAGAGCTTTACCCTATATTAAGTGTAATTTTGCTTGTCAAAGTTCTTGTTAAGATTATTTTTTTTTAGTTCTGAGAAGATTTAAAAAAAAAAAAAAAAAAAAATCTTAACAATGACAAAAAAAAAAAAAAAAAAACCAGAAATAGAATTTATAGAAATTAAAAAAAAAATAACAATACCCATACGTACAAGTTAGCAGTTGCAGAGAGAGAGGAGGGCAAGCTTGAGAGTAGAGAGAGCGGTTGAAGCTTGCGAACGGTGATATGGGTTTTGATATAGGTTTTAATTCTTGCAAACAGATAGATAAACTGAAATATATGGGTTTTGAACTTCTGATTCTTTTAGATTTTGTAGTTTGCAGTTTTAGAGAGAGAGGGGGCAAGTTCAAGGTTGAGAATTAAACTGAAATATATGAGTATAGAGATGGAGGCGATTGGGGAGGCTGAAATGATTTGCCCTAAAAATAGTGGGGGAGTAAAAGTGAATCGGACGGTTCAAAATGGTTATCCGTGTGCTTTTCAAGAATAGTATTGAACGGTTGAAAATCTGTTTGGTTGTGTTTTCTTAACTGGTGTAGACAGTTAGGATTGACTCTGGGATTATGAGTCGGATCGTAAGGCTTGGATGTTCAATTTTTATTGGTCCAAAATGTTATCATGTTTATATGCCATTATGGTATTTTTGCGAAGTTAAAATCATGATTGAGTAGGATTTGTTATTTCTTTAAAATGCTCTTTATTTAACAAAAAATTACAATAGATTGCTACGTAAAGAATAATATTATAATGGTTGGATTGTTGTGCTTGACAGTACCTTATCCTCTCTTCTCTAGCTACGTATCATTCATAGGTTGTACATTTTGAGGCCCTAGGCGACTGCCTTGGTTTTTTTTTTTTTGAATTTTCAAGCTGCTGATATATATATCAAAAAGGAGAATATTTACAAGGAGGCCATTTGTTGCCTTGGGTTAGGATCCGCCCGAGTATATCATATTATTTTAATATGATGGTTGACTTGACTTGGGTTTGATTAAGTGGGCTAATTCTTTTAATATTTTTATTTTTATTTTTTATGGCTGACCTAAAATTTGTATAGTAAAAAATACCCCACCTGCTCTCTTCAGATTTCTTAAAATCAAATTTAATGCTAGAGAGATAATGATATATCACTTTTGAAAGATACATAAAGTTGTTGATATTTGCATAGTAGAGTCACGAGATAAAAGAGAGGAAAAAAGCTGATGTAAAAGAGAGGAAAAATGTGAAAATTAGTGACTCATGCTACTCTAAAAATCAAATTTATTAAAAATCAAAATGTTAACAGTATCGGAATGTATCCAAAATGTATCCACGAAAGCATCAGTTATTATATTCGTAAATTTTTTTCAATCTTGCATACATGATTCAAAATGCAATAATACACACTTTTGAACAATATAATCAAAAATTTCAGATTATAATGGCATTGTCAGGAATTCAGAAAGTAAATTTTTAATGTCTTACTTTCGAACCACACTCTTAACTTAAATAATTGGTGTGTTTTGAGGTCGATACACTTACTATAAGAGAATAATATAATCGAATTAAAAATAAAATTTTAGTAAGTTGTAAATGTAATTTATGGTCTATTTATAATAATTTTTAAACGTACTTTTAAATACATTTTTTACTAAATTAATCAACAATCATACCTAAAGTACCAATTTGAAAGGCAAAAGAAATATATATATTTAGCATTCCTCATATATTATGAATTAATCAATTTATTTTAAGGCAATCTCCCCATATATATACTCCCCAAATATTGATTCAACATGCAAATTTGCCATGTTATTGCTGATTGGCCAAAAGCAATTAAAAAGAAAAAACATATAGAGCGGCTTTTTCAATTTGATTTTTCTTTTTAAATAATTAAAAAAATTGAGTTGTACCAGCTTTCCCCATTGCTATCAGCTTTATATACCATTGACCACTTTAAATTGGCCAAAAGCAATAAAAATTAAAAATTCATTAAAAAACTGAGCTGTCAAGTCAAGTGTGTCTCTACCATGAAGTATCAACGAGCTTTACCATTACCATCAGCTTTATATAAAGCTGTCAGAGGCATTGACCCATCTCAACTCTCGACACAAGAGTGTCTCAACCACAGAATAGCACAGAAAGTGTATCTCATGCATGAGAGAATATTGGGTACCCCAAGGGTACCCCGTCAGCCTGTTCCACCTGGTATCCCAATTTAATAAAAACATGATAATTGGCTAACTTTCCACATCAGCTTCATACTCAACATGCCACTAACGGAACGTTGTTAACTTCGTTAAAAAAAAAAAAAATTATGAAACCTATCTTCTTCGGCATATAACTCACCGAGCCGGATCCAACCGGATCCGAGAGCGCGGGGCCGACCGGTGTGTGAATAACCGCTGCGATCTTCGCCAGAGCGGAGGCGAAACCGAGCTGCAGACGGAAATCCTGCACCACGACGCTCAGTAAACCGACCATAATTTGGCGAAGGCGTCACCGTACGCGCCACCTTGGCTGAATCCAAAGGCGTGTACAGGGATCTTGAGGTGTGAGTAGTGCGTGGAACAGACGACGGAGGATTGACGCCTTTCCATCGCCGATTTACCGGTAGAGACTGGCCCGTCGTGAACGTCTTCTAACACCTTCGCTGCTTTTTTCAGCGTGTCGGTGAAACTCGAGCCTTGGCCTGCCACAAGTGCATCGGCGATTCGACGCACCGATGACAGGCCGTTCACCGTCATTCTTTTCAGTGGCAACAACCTCTTGGAGTTCGCCGAGAAAGCCACAATGGAGAGACGATCGGCGGATGAAAGAGACGACACGATCAATCGCATCGCGTGTTTCATCATCTGCAATTTCTCTATCGTCACGCTTCGTTCACATCTAATACTATCACCAAATCGACCGGTGCTCGACGCGCCATCTTCTCTGGCGCCGACGGCGCTCTGACCTTCAAAACTATGGCGTATGTCTCGTAACTCCGTGTTACAGATTCAAGCAATTCTCTCATCTGGGTCTCTCTCAATCGCTCCAAAATCTTTAATTCTTGTGGGTCTTTAGCTCAGACTCGTTGGTGAGCCAACTCGGCGAGATCATAAGGGACATTTCTGGGCTACCCGAGAACGAGCTTTGTGCTCGGCGATGGCTGCTGGTTGGTGGGACCGGCGATGGTGAAGATGATTCCTCAATCCGGTCAACGCTAATTTTTTTTTTTAACAAAGTTGACGCCGTCTCCGTTAATGGCATGTTGAGTAGGAAGCTGAGGTGGAAAGGTAGCCAGTTGTCATGTTTTTATTGGATTGGGGTACCAGGTGGACAGGCTGACGAGGTACCCTTGGGGTACCCAATATTCTCCCCTCATGCATATATGTTGATTTTTTTTTTTGGTACCATGACCTAGATCATATGGACTCCCGTGATCTAAGAGCTGAGCTTGAGCAGTCACGATCGACGACGATGCACAACATAGATCAATGAAATTTTGAAGACTGAAGGGCACAGAAGATACTAGATAATTATCAACTTTTGAAAATGTCAAAATATTTAAGCTGCATCACGTTTCAAGTAAAGCCCATAACCTTAAATAAATAAATAAAAAGGAATTGAGAAAAAATTTAGTATGGCCCCATAAATTTTATGGCCCCACAATTTTAGTATGGCCTATAAATCTTATGGCCCCATAAATTTTGAGGCCTTAGGCGACTGTCTTTGTTGCCTTGAGTCAGGCCGGATTTATTTGGCTTGGATTGACTTGGGTTTGATTGGGTGGATTAATTATATTAATAATTTTTTTTCAAGTTGGGCTAGAATTAGTATGATAAAAAATAAAAAAATAAATTTTGAGTAGACTTGAGCCAACCCTACATTCGTCTAAACATTTGTGTGTTAATTGGTGATATTTAGACAGTTGGTTGGATGAAAAACCATGTGGTGTTGTATTCTTTAATGGAGATGAACACATTGGTATAGACTCGGTATTGGTTAAAGAGAAATAAAGAGACCTACTGAATTCTTTTTTATCAGCTTTGAGAGTGGTAAAAGCAGGGAGCTGCAAAATTGCATAATTTTTCTGAAATTGAATCAATTGATTGGTTGAGAGCTTAAAATGCCAAAAAAGTTCAACGGAACTGCAGAGAAGCACCGGAACTTTTTGAATTTTATGTCGTAAATTTAGTCATTGAATGAGATTTGATGTATTTATTGAAATTGAACTACTCAATTTCCGCTGATGATTTTTCTATGAAATAAAAATTCACTCCCTTTCTTACCATTCTTAATTTATGATGCAGGAGACGAAATGACTCGAATCTTCTGAAAATCAATAAAACAGGTAATAATATGCTTTCCGGTTCATTTCTGAACACTAATATGCTTTCCGGTTCATTTGTGTAACTCATGATTTATCACAAGCTAATTTTCCCCTTTCTTTGCAAAAACGTCCCCGGTTAATCCCAGGTATTTATTGTTTCTTGATGCTACTTTATGAACCAAGAGCATTTTTCTAATTGCTATTGTTGTCATGTCAGGATGGACAAACCCTATATGCATTGGAAGGAAGGCATGCTTTTGGCAATCAATATCGAGCAACTGATGCAGTAACTAAAAAGGTCACCATGTTTGGAACCTTATAATGGCGGGAGGTTATTATCATAAATAAACACAAAGAACACCAACAGAGCAAATGGTTTGCACTGAAATATTTTGCAAGCAACTTCTACTAGAGAGGATTTTAGTCAGTATGTGTGTGATTGAGCGAGCATGATCCTGCACAGATGAAACAAAAAATGACAAGCATCTACAATCTATATTATATCTCTATATATATTTAAACACAGATTGCATTCTCATCTTTTCAATTTTGATTTTCCTTCAAAAAAAAAAAAAAAAAAAAACTAAGACACTGTTTTGTATCTACCAATTTAAACACATGATATTGTTTTTCCTTAAAAAAACAAGACAATAAGAAGTTTGAAGTTTTACCTAAGTTACCTACACTTTCTATTTATCGGGTGGAATTTCAATGCCGAGGTTAGTCAGAATTTGCTTCAGCGCCTGGATGCTTTCCCGGAGACGTGCCCCTCCATATATCGGGTGGAAATTCAATGCCGTTGTTAGTCAGAATTTGCTTCAGCGCCTGGATGCTTTCCCGGAGACGTGCCTCTCTGTGCTGGAATTGTGCTCTTTGGGCTTGGAGATTTGCATTGTGTGCTCCCAAATTATGATTTAGTCCTTCAAGATGATCATTGTCTGCTTGGAGTCCCTCTATTTGCTGATGCAGTACATCAATTTGTTGATCAATAGCAAGAACTTCTTGTACAGGAACATGATTACGATCAATCAGGACCCTTATAAGGGCTATGCTCCCCAAATATGGTATTGCATATATCTCTATATAGATTTAAACACAGATTGCATTCTCATCTTTTCAATTTTGATTTTCCTTCAAAGAAAAAAAAAAAAAAAAGACAATTAAGGCAATTCAAACTGTTTTGTATCTCTACCGATTTAAACACATAATATTGTTTTTCCTTTAAAAAAAAAAGACAATAAGAAGTTTGAAGTTTTAGCTAGGTTACCTAAACTTTTCATATATCGGGTGGAAATTCAATGGCGTGGTTAGTCAGAATTTGCTTCAGCGCGTGGATGCTTTCCCGGAGACTGTTGTGCTCTTTCTGTTTGGAGATTTGCATTGTGTGCTTCCAAATTATGATTTAGTCCTTGAAGATGATCGTTGTCTGCTTGGAGTCCCTCTATCTGCTGATGCAGTACATCAATTTGTTGATCAATAGCAAGAACTTCTTGTAAAAGAACATGATTACGATCAATTAGGACCCTTATAAGGGCTATGCTCCCCCAATATGGTATTGCATTTATAATTCTAGTTTGGAGAATTAAACAGCGAGCAAACGTATCCGTGGAGTGAACATCGGGGGTCGAAGTCACCATTGTCTTAAAATGTGCTTCTCCATACATTCTTTACCTGCATAAAGTATTACGCACATATTAGTGTAAGCTGTTTTGGTGTGCACACACGAAACACACCTAAGAACAAAATATTCCATATCGGCAAGAATAAACACAAAAAACAATATGAACATAATAAGTTTATATATACACTTTTAAAAACACACATGTAAATAATTAAACAATAATATTCTTATCTCCAATATATATAAACCAAAAACCTTTAACTTAGGTTACAACACTTCATTCAACATCACACAATCTGGACCAACATTCTTTGCCTTGTCTGGTTACAAGGCATCATTCAACACAGTAGGTATTTTTCATGTAACACCCCCAACAAAAAATATATATAAATAAATAAAATAAAATAAAAATATCACATCCCATATTTGACTTTCAAGTGATATAATACAACCCAAGGAAATACAGTAAAACTAAGAAATCTACATTAAAAAAGAACTATGAATAGACATTTTCTCGTGAATAAACACATAAGCATATATTCACCCACAAATGCACATTGCACAACATAATTTTGTATCAGAACTTCCATTTTTCCTCTTTGAATGTGCGCATGAAATCACTAATTAAGAATATCTTGTGTAACATTAAACAATAAAAAAGATTACTTTTTATGCAAGAATCCAAGCAATATGTGATGTTCAAGTAGGGTTGCAAGTTGGGTTCGCCCAACCCAGCCCAGTCCCAATCCAGCCTCAACCCGAATCGGGTTGGGTTGGGCCAGTCCAAAAAATCGAAACCCAGATCTTTCAGTTTCCATCGTCCACTGTTTAAGTTCGGGTTCGCCGTTCGCAAGCTTCAGCAGCTGTCTCTCAACTCTTAAGCTTGCCTCCCCTCTCTCTATGCAACTGGTAACTTGTATGTATGGGTTTTGTTTTAATTTTTTTCCCCAGACCGGATCATTTGCCTGAATCTTGTTTTCCCATATGAAAAAGAATCTCCTCATTCCGATGGGTGTGCTTCTTTCCTGAAAGATTTTCCCATGAGATGATTCCCCTTGAAAAAAGGAAAGAGACAGGTTCTCTCTAATTGAACTTGGCATTTGAATTTGAGTGTCCAAGCCACTTTGGGACGGCGATAGAGAGAGAAAGAGAAAGAAGAGAGGAGAGAGAGGAGAAAAAAAAAAATGTATTTTGGGTTTTGGGTTGGGTTTGGGTTAAGCCCGAGCCCAACCCGAATATGTCTGGGTTTTGACAAAACCCAACCCGAACATGAGCCCAATTTGTGAACTTAAAACCTAAATTTCAAAATTTCGGGTTGGGCTTGGGTTGTGCTAGGTTAGCCCGACCAAGTTGCAGCCCTATGTTCAAGCAAGTTCAACTCAAGTCCAATTCATGTTGGGTCATCACAAACTTGATCTGAAATTAACGAAGCATTTTAACATTACCTATAACCAACTCTTTATCAATATATTATGTTAACATAACCAAAACCAGTTTAAACCTAAACAGCCAATAAAAAATTAAATTACTGGAACAACAAAAAATAATATTAAAAATATTCAAGTAGATTAGAAATAATTTTAGATACTAATCATATTGAATAGTCTTTAATTCTGCATCCTTGCCCAGGCCTAACCTTTGACCAGAGTTAGGTTCGGGAAGGCCCAAAAACAACTAATTATAAATTCCTGAGCAAAACTATGAATCCTATTATGAACACATAAGCTGCCAGTAATAGGTAAGGAACTGCCAATTCTACTTAAGAACAATGTTTTAAATGGCATTCATAAGCTAAATTTGAAAGTCATTACTGTTTAGAAGATTGGGATATTACAAACAGAAGCTCAAATGTAACCAGTTGTGTTACCAAGATTCTCATATTCCCCTTAAAGCATCGGTACCGACACAACATGGGTATCTCAATAATTTTAATGGAGGGTACTCATTTGCTCCTTTGGACTCTTAAACTCTCACCTACCATTTTAGGAAAGAATAATAACAGAGCAAATGGTTTGTATTAAAATATTTTGGAGGCAAATTCTATAGTTCTACTAGAGAGGATTCTAGTTAGTCTGTGTGTGATTTTGAGCGAGCATGATCCTACACAGATGAAACAAAAAATAACAAGCATCTACAATCTATATTATATCTCTTGCATTCTCATCTTTTCAATTTTGATTTTTCATAAAAAAAATAGACAATTAAGGCGTTTTAATAATATCATATCCGCACCATCCCAACACTTGAACCTGAAAATAACAGGAAGCTAAAAGATATAAAAACAGTTTTGTATTTACCGATTTAAACATAATACTGTTTTTCCTTCAAAAATAGACAATAAGGTGTTTCAAGTTTTACCAAGGCAACCTACACGTTTCATATTCCAGATGGAATTGAAATTCCACGGAATTTGCTTCAAAACTCAATGTTTGCCCGGAGACGTCCCTCAGTATGTTGACGAGGGACAATCTCTTCATGGAGTTTTGCATTTTGTGGCACAAGAATATCATCTTCAAGATCATTATTTTGGTAAGGGGATTTAAATAATTCAATTAGCTAGGCAAAAAAAGAACATACCTATTTTCTTTTTGCCTAATCCACCGATTCCCATCAACTCTCTTCTTTCAAAAAAGAGACCTATATTGTTAGGACAAAAGAAGAAAAGTTTTAAAAGCGTTAATAAACTTGTAAAACATATATTCTGAAATTGAAAACTAAACATCAAAGTCTTTAATTCCCATTAATAAATTGTTCGAGCATCACATCATAACAATATATATATATATGTGTGTGTGTGTGTGTGTGTGTGTGTGGAAACAAAAACAAAAAATCAGCATGTAAAACATAAATAAATGAACGTAACCAATAGCTAAAAATACCAATTAAAATTTTAGAAAAAGTAATTGTTTGTTACCTGATGACTAAGGAAGCATGTTTCTTGAACTTTGTTCTTGCTAAATGTTAAGGTCCAATACCTAAAAATAAGAAAACACTCAAGTTGTGAGGAAGAGGTTTCACAATCACACTCATAACAATTAAAACACCACCATCTAAGTACTATCTGTATCATGTATCAACCCAACCCAACTATGCTTTCAGTCAAAGTGTTGGACACCTATCCATAGAGAGGTGTGATTATGGATAGGTGTGATTAACACATATTATACTCGGCTCTTATGTTAAATTAATCTACTAACAAAGTACAATGCATCAGTTTAGGAATAATCTTCAAAATTAACAAATCAATATCATGATATTCTGCATTCTAATAACGAGCATTCTAATAACGAAAGAAATTCAAAAACCAAAATTTGAAAATAAAAATATGCCAAAAAGATTGAATATATCCTTCGTGCATTGCACAAATTGTAATTCTATGTGAAACAAAACATCTAAGATTTCTCAATGGGGTGGGCTAAATCAAAATATATCAACCAAAATCAACTATTGTTTAATTCAATTTTAGTTACCTAACAATGTTTCTTTAGACAATTGACTGATTAAGGCATATAGAAAATCCTATTTGAGTAATTAATAAAAAAAATATTACCAATTTATTTCTGAACAATTCACCATCCAGGTCCCTATCTCTTCTTTTGACCAATTTACTAATCCTATATGAGAATCTACAAGTGGAAGCAAAGTGTGAGGTAGTCCATGGCAAGCCCCTTCCAACACTATGGAATTCACTCCAAATCATGCTTTTTGTAAGTATTTTAATTTTCAAGAAAACTTTAGAGTTTTACCCTATATTATGTACTTTTGCTTGTCAAAGTTCTTGTTATGATTTTTTTTTTTTTTTTTTTTTTTTAGTTCTGAAAAGATTTCTAGCTTGGCATGTTGATAAAAAAATGTTTCAGATTCAATCTCTGTAGATTTCTAATCCATTTCAGATTTGTTTTTTTTTTCTTTTTTCATGCCCAGATTCAAATTTTCTTCTAGGCATAATTGACAAACAAAAATAAAAATAAAAATAAAAATTAACAAAAATTTAAAAAATAATAATAATAATAAGAAGTTTTAGAAATAAAAAATATATATATTTGTTTTTTTTAAATAAAATGTATATTACGGTGATTACCTCAAAATGCAACAAATTTTGTTACTTTATATTGTAATATATATATATATATACACACACACACACACAGCTTGGCATGTTGATAAAAATTGTTTCAGATTCAATCTCTGCAGATTTCTAATCCAATTCAGATTCTTTTTTTTTTTTTAATTTCTTTTTTCATGCCCAGATTCAAATTTTCTTGTAGACAAAAAAATAAAATAAAATTGTTTTGCTGAAATAAAATGTATATTACGGTGGATTGACTCAAAATGCAATGCAATGGTTACCTCAAAATGCAACAAATTTTGTTACTTTATATTGTGTGTGTGTGTGTCTATATATATATATATATATATAAAGACTATAAAAAATTTCACCAAATAGGATTCAGTTTGCAAAACAAGACCTTGATTAGTTGATTGAGAAAAAAAATTAAAACAAAACCCATACATACAAGTTAGCAGTCACAGAGAGAGAGACGGAGGGCCCGGGGGGGGGGGGGAAGCTTGAGAGTTGAGAGACAGCGGCTGAAGCATGCGAACGGTGAACCCGAACCGGAACAAAATCAAACCAAGATCTGTGACAGTAGTTTTCTTGCACCAGAACCTACTCTTTCTGCCACAAAATTGTTGATAGACTTCAATTGTCTGATCCACAAAGCAACATAAACTTCATTTGCCCTTTGTTTCTGCTGTTTTGTTGTTGTTATAATAACCAATATTTGTCACACAAAAATGGAAAAAAGAAGGGGAAAAAAAAAATGTGAGTCAACTTTTTGGGACATTACGGACAAAGAACATAACAAAGTATGCAACTATGCACGGATCCAAGTCTTCCTATGAAAGTGGACCACTCCAACATGCAAAAGTGGACCACTCCAACATGCAAAAGTGGAAGAAAATAAGAAACGATTATCTGTTAATTTTTTATATTTGTTTCAAACAAAATCAAGATCAAGGACCTATGATCGAAACTTCAAGTTATGGTATTTTCAAGTAAGAAAGAGGTAACAGACTGAGGGCAAGAGGAGAAAAAAGTTCATTGGGCAGGTCTTAGTCTAACCAAGGACGGATCCTGGATTTTTCAATGTGGGTTAAATCAAAATATATCATCAACCAAAATCAACTGTTGTTTAATTCAATTTTAGTTAATTAACAATATTTCTTTAGACAATTGACTGATTAAGACATAGAAAATCCTATTTGGGTAATTAATAAAAAAAAATTATCAATTTATTTCTGAACAATTCACCACTCAGTACCCTATCTCTTCTTTTGACCAATTTACTAATCCTATTTGCGAATGGAATGTGAGGTAGTTCATGGCAAGCCCCTTCCAACACTATGGAATTCAATAAAAAGCATGGTTTTTGTAAGTATTTTAATTTTCAAGAAGTAACTTTAGAGCTCTACCCTATATTAAGTACTTTTGCTTGTCAAAGTTCTTGTTATGATTTTTTTTTTTTAGTTCTAAAAAGATTTCCAGCTTGGCATGTTGATAAAAATTGTTTCAAATTCACTCCCTGCAGATTTCTAATCCAATTCAGATTCTTTTTTTTTTTTTTTTTTCCTTTTTCTTGCCCAGATTCAAATTTTCTTCTAGACATAATTGACAACAACAAAAAAGAAATAAATAAATAACAAAACAAAACAAAACAAAAAGTTATAGAAATAAAAAATATATATATTTTTTTTAGTTTTCTGAAATAAAATGTATATTTGCAACAAATTTTGTTACTTTATATTGTAAAAAAAAAAAAATTATTTACAGTTTGGCATGTTGATAAAAATTGTTTCAGATTCAAAATGTATATTTGCAACAAATTTTGTTACTTTATATTGTAAAAAAAAAAAAATTATTTACAGTTTGGCATGTTGATAAAAATTGTTTCAGATTCAATCTCTACAGATTTCTAATCCAATTCAGATTCTTTTTTTTTTTTTTTTTTTTTTTCATGCCCGTATTCAAATTTTATTGTAAACATAATTGACAAAAAAAAAAAAAAAAAAAAATGCAGAAGTTACAGAAATAAATAAATAATACTAATAATAAAAGATATTTGTTTTGCTGAAATAAAATGTATATTACGGTGATTGCCTCGCAACAAATTTTGTTACTTTATATTGTAAAAATATATATATGTTTAAAAAAGATCATAAAAAATTTCACCAAATAGGATTTAGTTTGCAAAACAAGAAATACAGAGCTTGATTAGTTGATTTAGAAAAAATAAAATAAAACAAAACCCATACATACAAGTTAGCAGTTGCAGAAAGAGGGAGGGGGGGGCAAAAAGAGGGAGGGGGGGCAAGCTTGAGAGCTAAGAGACAGCGGGCTAGTGGCTGAAGCTTGTGAACGGCGAACCCGATTTGGAACAGTGGGCGTGGAAATTGAAAGATATGGGTTTTGATTTTTTGAACAATCTGAAATGATATGCCGATATGGGTTTTGAACTTTTGATTCTTGCAGACAGATAGATAAACTGAAATATATGGGTTTTGAACTTCTGATTCTTGTAGATATTGTAGTTTGCAGTTGCAGAGAGAGAGAGAGAGGGTAAGTTCAGAGTTGAGAACGAGTATGGAGATGGAGGCGACTGGGGAGGCTGAAATGATTTGCCCTAAAAAGCATGCAGGTGTGGGGAGTAAAAGTGCATCTAATGGTTGGAAATGGCTATCCATATGCTTTTCAAGAACAATCGAACTGTTAAAAATATGTCTGATTGTGTTTTCTTTATTAGTGTGGACAACTAAGATTGATTATGGGGTTATGAGTCGAATAGTGAGGCTTGAATATTCAATTCTTATTGGACCAAAATCTTACCATTGTTTATATGCCATTATGGTGCTTTTGCGAAGTTAAAATCATGATTGAGTGAGATTTGTTATTTCCTTAAAATGTCTTTTACTTAACAGTAAATTTCAATAGACTGTTATGTTAAGAATAATATTAGAGTGGTTGCATTATTGTGCTCAAGAGAACGTTGAGAATAATATTGGAATGGTTGGATTGTTGCGCTTGAGAGTACCTTATCCTCTTCTCTCTAACCATTTATCATCCATGAGCCTATAAATTTTGAGGCTTTAGGCAACCGTCTTTGCCGCCTTGGATCAAAAGCGGTCTTGGGTATATATTTGGCTTGAGTCTTTTATTTTAGGGTTAAGTGCAAAAAAATCACTCTACTATCAATATAATGCATATCAGTTCATGTGTCGTAAAAAAAATCCTATATTATCAATTTAGTGCAAATAGGTAATATTCTCACTTCAGTTGAATAAATTAATAAGTACAAATATAAGCCATGTAAAATGACCTTTTTATCCCAAACATCACCTAAACCTAATTTCCCTCAACCCAAACAAAGCCTTGTGCCCATATGTCACTGTTCATCTTCTTCCCCCAGTCTCCACTTCTATCACCCGCCACCACCCATCATCGCCACCACCCTATAAGCATATAGATGTACAATTTTGAAGCAGTGAAAATAGTAAGCAAAGAGAGCAAAGAAAAAGAAAAAGAAGATAGAGGGTGTGCGTCAATTTGTATGGCAGCAAGGATCCTAACAAATTTGTATATAGTGACAAGAGAATTTGGGGGAAATGGTGGAGCAACTCAGTGACTGGTCCATCACTTGACCCGAACTCGAGACACCTTCAATTGGCATTCGATCCACATCCAACATAGAATCACAACATCAATTTAACCAAGCAATTGTGCAAAATTGTTGCAGAGCCACCATGAGAGAGGATTGGTTAGAAAGAGAGAACGTGTGTTTAAGAGAGAGAATGTGTGTTGGCTGGCTGCCAGTGGTGGTTATTTGGTTTAATTAAAATAAAATTTTTTTTTCAATACAAATTGTTGTAGTCAAACAACGAAGTCAACTAATTTAGGTATATATGATTAAAAAGGATAGAGATTATTGTGGTGGTGGTGGTAGTAGTGGCGGCTATGGCGACGGGTGGCGTGAAGAAGGAGAAGGAAGTCAAATTAAAGAAAGGAATTATTTTTTTTTTTAAGGGAATTCAGGTTTTGGAAGTTGACTGAAATTAAAAAGTAATATTGACATTCTGTTAGGGGGCAAAATAAGAATAAAAAAAAGGATAAAATAGGATTTTTATTTTTACTTTTTGGAAAAAAGTAGTCAAAGGGACTTATTTGCACCTTTTTTGAAATTTATGAACTAATATGTACATTTTTAAAAAGTATGGACTAGTTCTGCACAAACCCTATATATTAGCGGGGTTTTTTGCACTTAACCCTTTATTTTAATATGATAGCTGAATTGACGTAGGCTTGATTAAGTTGGCAAATTCTATTAATATATATATATATATTTTGGCTAAACTAAAATCCGTATGGTAAAAAAAATTCCTACCTTGCTCTCTTTTGATTTTTTAAAATCAAATTTAATGCTAGAGAGATAAGTATCACTTTTGAAAGAGACATAAAAGTTATTGATATTTGCATAGTAGAGTGACGAGATAAAAGAGAGGAAAAAAACCAATGTAAAAGAAAGGAAAAAATGTGAAAATTAGTAACTCATGCTACTCTAAAAATCAAACTTATTAAAAATCAAAATGCTAACAGTATCGAAATGTATCTGAAATGTATCCACGGAACAGAATCAGTTATTACATTTGTAAATTTTTTTCAATTTTATACACATGATTCAAAATGCAGTAATACACACTTTTGAACAATATAATCAAAATTTTCAGGGATATAATGGCGGTGTCATAAATTTTAGAGGTAAAATTTTGAGGTATTGCTTTCAAATCGCACTCCTAACTTAAATGATGCGTGTGTTGTGAGGCTGATACACGTACTGTAAGAGAATAATATAATCGAATTAAAAATAAAGTTTTAGTAAATTGTAAATGTAATTTATGGTCTACTTATAATAATTTTTAAATGTACTTTTAAATATATTTTTTACTAAATTAATCAACAATGATACATAAGGTACCGACTTGAAAGGCAAAACAAATATATATATATATATATATATAGCATTCTTCATATATTATGAGTTAACCAATTTATTTTAAGACAATTTCCCCAAATATATTCCCCAAATGTTGATTCAACATACAAGTTTGCAAGATTACTGTTGATTGACCAAAAGCAATTAAAAAGAAGAAATCATATAAAGCGGTTTTTTCAATGTGATTTTTGTAAAATAATTAAAACAACTGACTTGTACCAGCTTAATCCTATTACTATCAGCTTTATGTAAAGCTGTTAGAGGCTCAGAGCATTGACCACTTTAAATTGGCCAAAAGCAATAAAAATTATAAAATCATTAAAAAAACTGAGTTGCCAAGTCAAGTGTTCCACTACCATCAAGTATCAACCAGCTTTAGCCATTACCATCAGTTTTATATAAAGTTGTCAGAGCCATTGACCCATCTCAACTCTTTTTAGTCCAGGTGTGAGATAGGTTTCTCCTTTTATATATATATATATATATATATATATATATATATATATATATTGGGAAAGTAAGTTTCATTTGAAAATGGAAAAGTACAATGTACAAAGGGAGGCCCACAAAATGAGGACAACCCAAACCATCAAGAAGACAATTAGAAGACACAGGCAAAGCCAAAAGAACAACACAACAAGCCTTATACAGGCACAGGCCTAATAGAACATAAATTAGGGTCCAGAACCCAAATTGGGGTTCATGATTTCATGCTTTGTCGGTTATATTTTGCTTCTCATAATACATGCATGATATACAAGAGGCCTGTGTGAGATGATAGGAGAGAGGATGTCTACTTTGTTATATA